TAATGCTAATGTTATTGCTGTAGACATCACAACAGTATTGCATGATGCACTTAATTTTGCCGTGTCTTGTTTTGTCAGTTTGCAGGGTATGGTGGCAGTTTGTTCTCTTCTTGTCCTTATGAGAAAGATGATGAGGAAGCAGATGCTATTTATGATTCCATCGATCGGAGAATGGATGATAGGAGAAAAGAGAGAAGGTAACATTGTAGCAATAAAACAATTTACAGTAAGTTCAAACTTTAAATCATGAATTTTGTTTCTCAAAAATAACATTGATAAAGAAACAGAAGCACATGAAAGTACTGCTCACATATATACTGTACTGTAAGTGTCCATTTGAATCAGGTCTTGTGCTGTGATTTAATATATTATATACAGTATACGCTTTGCACAGTTTATGAACAGGTTTGCCTGTATGAGTGCAATGGTTAAATCACACCTCACTTAGAGCTTATTTCTGAGGTTGGGCAAATTATTCTATTTATTTACATGTCAGTGTGAGAAATTGACTCTAGACAATTTAGTTAGAGCTTTTTCTTTTTGTTTGTAATTTAGGGAAAAGCGATTTAAAGAAGAGATTGAACAGTATCGACAGGAAAGGCCAAAGATCCAGCAACAGTTCTCTGATCTGAAGGTATAGCCAGCCACTACAATTTTTCTTTGTGCAAGACGTACTGTATTCCACATAAGTAAATAATAATACAAAAATAGATAAAATATAAATAAATAAATAAACAAACAAACAAACAAACAAGCAAGCAAGCAAGCAAACAAATAAGTAAATAATAAAAAAAAATTACTCAATACTTACATGTACTTACTAAAACAAATCACTAACTTTGTTTGCCATAGTAATTAGCAGTGCTGTACTTATTGGGAACACTATAAATCAAGAAGCAAAGACACATGTATTGTAAACAGAACTGAAAACTCGTTTAAAAATCCAAAACTTGACCAGTTGGCTGAGACATAAAGGAGTTGAACTGGGCACCACTGAACACAAATCCATCTATGTGTAGTGGCAGGGAAGAGGATTTGAACCTCGGACCTTTGGAATTCCATACACCTGTAGTGTATACTTTCTTTCCATCAACAGCATTGTCAGCCAATTATTACAATTGGGTGAATTTCTTGTTGCCATTAAAATGGATATTACATGATTGTATTGTATGGGGTAAATAGGGAAAAAGAAAACAGAACAGAACAAAGCAAAA